CGTATATTGCTCACACTTTGGTCCTCACACATGCGCAATGGTCCGGGTCATTAGGGGTTAGTGGTGAGATGGCTGTTTCGTGTGTGGTGTTGGCCATGGGAGACCGAGTGTTCTTACGAACTGTTTTTGCGGAGCACAAGGGGGATGGGATTATGCAGGCGGATTCCGATCGTTTCCGCTGTGGCCAGAATGCGACTCCGAATCCTCTTAGATAGATGGTTGCGAACCAAGTAGAGGGGTCGAAACGCCTCGGTCACATTAAACACGTGGTTTGATTCCACCAAGTGTGAAACGATCGAGCTGTTGATGGTCTTAATTGCTCCACTTAATTAATTAATTAACTCATACCTTTGTACGTTCTCACATATCACTTTTTCCCCCTGTTTTTACCAGAATTGTAACAATGGTCTATTTTTTCGCTGAAAGCTTGTATGTATAACTCGCTAAAGCTTGAATACAATACAATACAATTCGATGAGCAGTTTTCCTGCGGGGCGCGTTTTTTCTGGAACTGTATTCAGTTTACGTGTCACTATCTCTCCTAGGTATATTGGCCGCACGAGCAGACGTTTATCCGAACGAATCCGTGAGCACCACCCGGCCTGGCTGAAAAGTGGAGCAATTAAGACCATTAACAGCTCGATCGTTTCACACTTGGTGGAATCAAACCACGTGTTTAATGTGACCGAGGCGTTTCGACCCCTCTACTTGGTTCGCAACCATCTATCTAAGAGGATTCGGAGTCGCATTCTGGCCACAGCGGAAACGATCGGAATCCGCCTGCATAATCCCATCCCCCTTGTGCTCCGCAAAAACAGTTCGTAAGAACACTCGGTCTCCCATGGCCAACACCACACACGAAACAGCCATCTCACCACTAACCCCTAATGACCCGGACCATTGCGCATGTGTGAGGACCAAAGTGTGAGCAATATCCGGTCATGGAACTGGAATGTTGATTAATTCTTTTCCAACTTGTCATGATTTCTTCCCCTACCCCTCGATCCTACCTTCTAAACAGTCACGAAACGTCCGATGCTACAATTCAACTGCATCTGTGTAGGTCGAACGACACAGTCCACTCTGGATCACACATGGTGGGAGTGGAACGGTGTCAACCTCGATCATCGCTCATCTTGTAGAGATGGGACATTTGATTGACATGCGCTCGGCATTTGCAATCATTTGTCGAGTCTCACCACACCCCTCGAGAGCAATACCGTTTCGGACGCTAGTAACCGCAGAGGCGATTAGCATCCGACTCANCCCCCCTGCCTTATATATATATATATATATATATATATATATTTCTATGCAAGTAACGAATATGTAACCAGAAAAGTGAGACAATAAAAAGACATTTTGTGGTAATAAACAATCAAAAATCTATTTGGTATTTGATAAGGAAAATTGAAAAGAATTCACGCAAAAATATACAGATATGTGGATGGTTTAGCCGAGTAAGTCTTATCAGTTGAAAGTATAGAATCAACGAGAAAAATCGCCTGCACAAAGAACGCATGGGGAGAAGGAAGATTTAGAGAATGGACCAAGATATAGAGGAAATCATCCAAAAGCACAAATGCTACATTTGTACGGAAATGAAAAATTTAGTGGCTTCAAAAGTCATGAGAAGCAAAAAAGTGTGAACATCACAAAATCAGTCGGTGTGGCCATCATCAACATCAAGAAAAAACGGACAAATAATCAAGGTATGAACCAAAGAACTAAGTCGGAATGTAAATCATATCCAACCATAAAAGTGGAGAAACCAATACCAAGATTCGCGGGTATCGCTGGACGGCAAGATAGTTTGTCTTTCCAAATCTTTTGTATCAACCACGAGATGTGTGTAGAGGAGCAAACGAGCTAATTGGTCCCACTTACGAGCCGAGTGTTTGGCGAGACTGCTTCCTGATCGAGTTTTATTGGTCCATTCAGTAACAGATATATTTAAATTATGCAATAGTCTGGAGTAATCACACAGATGCGAACTCCATGCCACACTGTTTAGAAAGCGTTCTGGGGAATGATCTACGATGATCTGATAAACCGAATCGTTCAGCGCAGTCAGACCGTCGTGTAGGAAACCACGAAACGCACGAAACGAATCGTAGTGACCGGAACCACGTGTGGCTTTCAAATGGCGCACTGCCCGAAAACGACCAACCGTAGTTGGCGGTCGACTAAGTTGCAGCCCATGCACGTAACACCGCGCAGCCAACTCATCATCCTCGTTTCCCCAGCCCCAGTAACGATTTGGAAATCCATTGGTCTGTAGAATAGAACAACAAAAAATCAATTTGAAGTAACGCACTTTCAGAACCGAAGCAATAACAGATGAGGAGAGTCCAACTGAAATAACAGGATACCCAGAAATGAAAAATCTCCACTGATACCGTAGTGAAAATACAAACTGATCAAGCAAACCTATAGATCACATAGACAATTTCACAAGCCAACTGGTTAGTTACCATTGGTTTTCTTCATTACTTCCGAAAGCCTTAGCTTAGTTGGTGGTAGTCAAACGGTTTAAACCGCTGATACCGGCGTATTTTGGAGACCCAGGTTTGAGGTCAGAACACTGCCACCCAAATTTAGTGGTAGAAAGCTTCGCTGTCGTCTGACTCAATACCACACCTACACTAGTGATGGAAATTCAAAATCCCGGGGCTTGGATTGCTAGTTTTTAACACTGAACAACAGGTTACAGAATATCTTTCAGCATTTAGCTTGCAAGGACTATCAATCAGAAGCTATAGGTGTGATGAAACCAAAATGTACTATCATATTGACCAACAAGCTACCTAGGATAAAACATTGAAACGTTCAATTTAAACGTAGGCAGTCTCCGAAACACATATACAAGACCCTACTTCAAAAATCAATCTATGTTCTCCTAACCCAAACTCATCCTCATGTTTCACTCCATAAGTTAGACCATTTGGGAACCGATGGAAACGGCGTTGTGCTAAATGTCAAGGCTCAGTGATCGTTTCTTGACCGGAATCCGGTTAGTAGCCGACTGTGCGCATCAACAGTTACAGAACGAAGCGTCGCCGCTCGTTTATCGTTTCCGTGTATTGCACCGACCGATTACAGCGTACCTAAAATGTAGGAGGAATTCTACAAGGATCTTTATCAACTACTCTAAACTGTGCGATCAACGTACACCGAGACAATCACTGCTAACTTCAACAAATAAAGTCAAAGATTTAATATAGGAATTACTTACAAGCGGTAGCGTTTCCTGTTCCATAGGATTTTTCGCACAAATGATTCATAGAAAATTAAGGAATATCACTAATACGGATGTGAAAGTTCAGGAGTTCACAAAGTTCCATCCCATTTCATCATCATGAGCATTGTATAGCGTAATACAGTGATCACTGCCAAACTCATATTGCATACAAAATAAGTGAGAATGTGTCAGGAGAATAGGGATTGGACTTGATTTTACGGGCGGGAAAAGAAAGTGAACCTTTATGATCCACACGTAGAGTACACAGTCCAAATATGCATACATACTATGTCAAGCATTCTGGTCTGATAACAAGTGACAGCAAGATCGCCATTGCTGTCGGTTCGCAGCCATGACCTTCGGTGGCTCCAGCCACACCGTTTCAGTCTTTTGGACCCCAACCCAGAAGACGAGAGATACCTATTCTATCTAATCGCTCTGCGCATTTCTTCATGTAT